TTCCACCTTTCCAAACTCCACTCCTGTAAGAGAGGTAGAATGCTTCATCTCTGYTGTTAAAGGACTCTCTTGGRAGATCATTTGGCTTCCGTCATTTTTCTAGCATATGTTTGTTACCTACCATTTATTTTAAATATTTCTCCCTGTATCAAATGTGTACGTCAGACCCGTGGATAACCTTAGCTCCTGAACTGTGGGCAGCCACAATGTGATGTGGAGGGAAGCTGAGCGCCCCAACTGGCAGATCCTAGGCGGGATCCCGCACACCACCCGTTTAGGCACTTTACGAGGTGGGCCCAAGAGTCTCCTTCTGCGCCCATCTGTGGGAATGAATAACTGAGCTTGAATAGCCCCAAAGAAGCTTCTTCAACAAAGGCCAACGTGTGCAGCTTTGGAAATACAAGAACGAATGATGGGGAAACGCAYAGGGTCTGGCTGGAAAAGGGAAAGCATTCATCTCATGGTTTTGATATCKGAGATCCCCAGAATCTTTCCTCTCTGTTACCCAGCTTAAGATTTCTTCCCTGTTCTCTCTCCATCAAAACCTGGGCTGCCCAGCTCCGGGTAGTGGGTGCTGCTCTCTCCTGCTGCGGTTTCCCCAACCACTGCTTRGGCACAGCTGGGATGAGTCTCTCCGAGCCCCACTTCGTGTAGCTACTGTTGTAGCCCAGAAGCATCAGGATCTCAGAGAAAGACAAAAAAAAAAAAAAAAAAAATCGCTTCCCAGGACCCAGCACATAGACCTCCTCTACCGCCCCGCGCCATCAAGGGAGCCCGCAGGCTCTCCAGGCACCCAGCAGCTAAACTCGGCAGCGGCGTCCCAGCCGCAGCGTCCCGGCGCCAGAGGGCACCCGGGGGAGAGAGATCGCGCAGCTCCTGGGTCCCAGCGCTCAGTGCCCGGGAGCCAGGACTGTGCGCACCTGGGAGCTGGAGCCGAAGGGAATTCCTGCGCAAGCACAGAGGAGCCAGCSAGGTCCCAACCCTCCCGTCCCCTCGCCCAGGTACCTCGCAACCGTACAGCTGACCCAGCTGCTCCACGATCCACTCCTCCAGCACCAGCCGCTTCCGAAGCTCCTTTCTGTCGTATTTCACTGTCACTTTTCCTTGCTGGTGGCGCCGCTGCTGCTGTTGCTGCTGCTGTTGCTGCTGAACCTGCCCGGCAGTGGCCGCCGTGGCCACCGGCGCTGACTCCTCCCGGGAGGAGCCCGAGCTGCCGCTGGCACCGCCGCGGGGGCTCTGGAAGAAAACCCGCGCCCCACCGCCACCGGCCCCGCCGGCGGCCGCCTCGCTGCTGCCCGTCACCACCGACATTTCCTCGCGCGCCGGAGTCCGAGTGCGGCCCCGAGGAGGGGCGGGCGGAGCCCCCGGCGCCGCTACCACCGTCAGTCGGGCAACCTCATGCGAGGGGCTCGCCCGCACCTGCTCCGCGCGCAGCGCAGCGCACGCCCGGCTCCTCGGGGAGGGCGGGAGGAGAGGCGGCGCGAGCGAGGAGGCGGGCGGGAGGGCGGGGACCGCAGCCTTAAAGACACGGCCGCAGACCCTCTGGGTCCAGTCGCTGGAGGTGGGGTCTGGCGCCCGCGGGGGAGAGGGCCCCAGGCGTGGGAGTCGCCCGYGGGGGCGGGGATTTGTGAGCGTGGACACCGCGATCCGCGGTGTGCGGGCAGCGGAGGGCCCTGGCGCGGGTCTGGGTGGCAGCGGTGCAGAGCTCTCTCGAATTGGAGACGGAAATTGCCCTTCTCCCGCTGTCCCGAAGCTCACCAGACCCGTCACCTCCCGTGGCCTTTGGCCCAGGCTGCCCGGGCAGGGGCCCACYACTGAAGGGACAGGGAAGGTTCTGCTCGCCGCTGTGATTCCTCCGAGGGCGGAGTGTATCCCCCCGCCTCGGCCCCACCCAGAGACTCCAAACACGCATTCCTATTCAGGCCACGACGGATGCCGCTTCCTCTCTGGGATTGTGAGAAAAATTGATGAGGCGATGTTTGTGCRATCAGACAATTACCGCGCCTGAGCAATTATTTCCAGACCAGTTCTTTCCTTACCAGGCATCTGCTTAACCATAGGCAGGGCACTACGATAACTTTACATCTAAAGGGCCAGAAGGCTTGATCAGCGCTGGGGCGGAGGGGCTAGGGACATCCAGACACTAAGAATTTCTCTAAAGAGAGTCGTCGGTTGGGGCTTGCTGGGCTCACAGATTTTTAGTATTGCAATCCCTACTCAGCCAGCTTTYCTCTCTCTCAATGCCTTTCCAAACAACCTCTTTTTACCCAGGAAAACAGATGCATTGACTAACTCTATTTGAAAAACATCATGCAACTGAATAGAATTACGAATGAATGAGCTTATTATAAGGTTTAGTGCAAGGATGTGGGGAGGGAAATTATAAACCAAAAACTGCACGCGCATGTGTGTAAAATTACAGGGAGACACGCTAACATATTTCTGCTGTGCATAACAATCCATTTCTGTTTCAGCAACTGAAAGAAACCACAAAGATGTTCCAATACAAGTGAACAGTGAGTAGCTTTTATGAATCAAGAAAAGTTGGTAAGGGTTACTTGTAGCTATTCAAAGAAGTTTCCCTGAGGTAAAAGAGGCAACCGCATTACATGGAACACTGTCTATGGTGGAAACCATTGGGTGTGGGATTCTAGATTGACAGCTGGAAACGACACCAGAAATAAAAATAACTAGCTGGTGGGACTCTGATGTACAGAGTTGCTCTACTCAGATTCATGATCACCTTTGTTCCCTCAGTTTGGAACAAACAACAGTTTGAGCAAGAGACCAAATAGGGATTTTCCCAATGTTCCATGCCTGCAGTACATCATAAGGACACATCAGGCCTTGAAGAGTGATAGGGAAGGATCTAAGTGTGAAGTATTAGAGGGTCAAGGCTAAAAGATCAGATCTCCACCCCCCAGAGAGACCAGCTGCCCTGTAGAAGATGAGGTTTTGTGCCAATCTATCAGAGACAAGGGACAGGAATTACCATAACTGGCCCATAGAGACTGATGATCATTCTCCATATCACCCACCCCCACCTGCCTTGTAGGGTAAGTCATCCTCAATGCTGAACCCTTAGGCAAGAGGGGGAGCACTACCGTAAAATGGAATTCTGTCCACAAGGAGGAAAAAGAGGGAGAGCAGCAGGGGTGTCTCCCACATAGAGGAAGCTTGTCTCCAGACATYGGGCACCTTGCCAAGTTCACTAGCACCAGCTTTAACCAACCCACTAACCAAGAGAATTTAAATCAAAACAAAAACAGCTACAATTTTAATTAATAAGAAGAAACTAYGTGAAATCTCTGCCCTGTCCCGGAGCTGAGATTTCTGGTAATAATTGTAACTGTGATCCTGCAGTATGGCAAAGAGTGGGAAATTCCAACTCCTTAGTCTGAGTCTTTGGACAATGAAGTCAGTCATTTAAGAATAACTTCAAAGAATTTATGGAAATTCACAAAGTTCTTTCTGAGGAAAATTCTTGTGCCCATTTTTTTTTTCCTCACAGCATAGGATGCTTTTTCCTCTGTGCTTAAAACTCAGCTTTTGTTTGTTTACAACTTCAATAATGACAGATACTAAAAGACATAGTTGTAGGCATCTGAACTTGTAGAAAATTGTGAGTAGTCAGTTTCTTTCCATGGGCATATTGGCCTTYAAAGGCCCGAATAAGTCACCTTGACTAACAACTTGAGGTTGAGCTAACATGGAAAGCTCCTTTTTCTATAAATCTTCTTGCTCCACCCAGGACATAACTTATACTGGAAGTGAACTGGATGTCCCTGTCCCCCAAACACACATGCTTTATTTCATGTTTGAAAAAGTAAAACTCAGTATTCAGATTTTGACAGAAAGTAGAAATAAATAATGCTTTTGCAGATTTCCAAAATGGAAGACAAAATATTTTTTTTTTGGGGGGGGGGAGAAACTATGCCCAGGCTAGGGACCCTTTTACCTGGATGACTGTTTGAGGTATAGCTCACTGGTAAAGCATGTGCCCACCAAGCCCAAGGCTCCTGTTTCTTTTACCAGCACCATAAGAAAATAAAAATTATTAAGAATATAATAAGTTGAGCACAACCAACCACATTGCACATCTACCACACTCACACACATACACAACACACACACACTCACACACACACACTTGTTGAATGCAAGTTTTATTTTAAATCTGGCTAATGAAAACAATGAATAGTTTTTAGTGAATGGAAGGGTCTGGAGATTTTTAAGAATGAAAGGGAAGTACTTTTACCCTAAGGCAATTACTCCCTCCTGTGAAATGCCTACCTAAGGAAGAGTCACCTGTCCATCATAACTTTGCATTTTCCTAACTTGGCCATTTGTTTTCCTCATTCCTTAATTTTTAGAAAGGTTTTTTTGGGGGTGGGGATTATATAGAGACTTTTATCTCTGAATACGATCTTTGTGTCCAAAAGCTATTAGATAAGATGACTTATACAGGGATTCCAGAGCTTTCCTCAGGTCCCCCACCCAAAACTCCAGGGAAATAATTAAATACTGTACAAATGTTTATACTCAGATGCAAATTTTCTTACTCCTTAAAGACTASATGTCACAATAATTATGCAACACCTGGTAATCTACCTTGAATATGGTATAATTACCACCCAAGGCCCCAAACCTGAACATAATATTCCAGTCTTGAGTAATGATGCCTATATTCAGATTCTCTCAGAAGTTTGGTAAAACAAAAAGACCAAAAGAAAGCTGATTTTAAGTTTGATCATCACCATAAACATGGAAGAAATTAAATCTGTCCTTTGGGATTTTATCAGTTACCYAGAGAATTTTGTTTTCAGAATATCTCATTGTTCTTTATGGAACAATGTTGTTTACAGGGTATGGATGTGATTTTTGGAAAAGCTACTGTTTCATCCTTTTTTGTTCCTTCTCATTTCTGCCTCCTCCTGGACCTTTGGTTCTATGATTTGGAATCATAATTTAAAAATAGATTTCTCTACTTACTCGYATAAATAAGAACAGCCATTGTCACGAGGCTAAATTTTGTCTCAGCAATTAACAAAAATTCTTCTCTGGTGTTCAGACATGATGAAAAGTAGGGAAAGAATTCACAGCTTCATCTCATCCCCTTTAACCAAGACGGAATACTCCTCCCCATTCCAGGAACCCTAGCTTGTAGAATATTTTGTCTCTTCCTATAAAACTAGGTTCAAGTTTGTTCCTAGTGGGMCAATTATCCCCCTTCTAGCCAAGGTCCTCTTGCTGTCCCCACTTTCCCTGCAAAACATTTGGGAAGGGTTGTCCCTACCCCCACATCTCTGTCTTCCACTTTGGGCCCTTCACAGTCTGGCTGCCATCTCTAGACCMGAGGTGCCTCCCCAAGGTCACCAGCCCACTCTGTGTTGCTCAAGTCCATGAGCATGCTCACGTTTCAGCACTTACGTAATTCGACCCCCAGTCACAGTTGACAATCTTGAACTTCTTTCCCTGCAAAATGCTCTCCTCTCTTGGCTTCTGATGCCAGGCCCCTCCTGGTTCTCATCTGCTGCTTTTCTGCAGGACAGTGGTTTCTGTGAGCGGCTTCTCCCCCACCCCTGTCTCARAGTGACAGTGAATGTAAGTTTTGTTTGTTTTGTTTTTTTAATCTGGCTAATGAAAACAATGAATAGTTTGTAGTGAATGGAAGGGTCTGGAGATTTTCAAGAGGTYGGTGGTTCCCAGCTCTGCTCACGAACCCATTCCTTGCTCTTTGGCAGGCATCTGCTATTTAGGTCAACCTGTATGCAAACAGAGAATCTCCAAAGATAACGAATGCATTCTGGAGTTGCAGAGCAGTGTCCCAAGAACACATGTGGGAATATCAAAGAGATTTGAGATAAGGGGAAATTTTAAAGGTGAGACCAGAAGAATTGCACAAGATGTTTTGCAACCACCCTCTTGGCTACAGGAATCAATAACAAGAGTGGCGTCGGTCCCGGGTTGGACATGGAGATACTGGGAAGATGTCCTTGCAGGAGTACTTTTTGGACTAGGTTGTGATGGCCTTTGTGTGAGGTTGTCATTTTTGCCTCTGAAGCTGTGACTTCACCTGTCTGCCACAGGTTCCCCAAATCAAGACTTGAGCAGATCTCAGGCTCCAGCTTCCCATCCACACACAGCACACCACGTCCAGTACCAAGTAAGGAGTGTTCCAGCCCAGTGATTTTCACATTTTTTTTAATCACAAAGCACAATAATAAATACACTTTAGCTAGGTGCACTGGCACACACCCGTAATCCCAGTAACACAGGAGGCTGAAGCRTAAGGATCACAAGTTAACAAGTATATTGAGGTGGTTCCCAGGATAGACCCAGATCCCAACTGCCTGGATCCCAAATAGGAAACTCCTTCTGTCTACTTCTGCCTGTGCCTACAACCGCTCYTCCTCCACATTCCCCTGGTTCCAGGGTAGTCCCTTGTTAGGGTCCGTAAACAAGTCAAGATGGCGCCTGACACTTTGCCAGAGGGAGTGGTTTGAGAAGTAACACCAGTGAGCCATTAAGATGATAGAGATTCCTTAATGACTGACTGCTGTGTCTAGATTATGTCAATTAAGTTAAGCTGTGTGTAATCATTAAGAGGATGAGGATTCCTTATTGGTTGTCTGCTGTATCTAGTTTATGTTAATTAAGATAAGCTGAGTGTAATTAGTTAAGTATATATACCTCTGCTGTCCTGAAATAAAGGGGCTCCCGCTGTATCAATCTTCACAAGTTCCTTGTCACTCACCCCCAGGTTATTTTGCCCAACCAGACTGCGGCAGTCCCTCTCTCCCCTACAAGACCAGCCACCTAGATACTGTGTGACCTTGTTAAGTTATTCAGCCTCTCTGTGCACTCTCAATACTACTTGTTTCACCAGTTGTTGTTAAGATGTTACCTGGAAAGAGCACCCAAAACAGCACTTGCTATTGTCTGTGAAAGGACCATAAACAATGGGACATTCCAGTAATGTCCCACTTTGGCCACAGCATATCCTGACTTTAGAGATGGGAAAACATCTCCACATGGGGTCCTGTTCCAACTCTGTATATAGAAAATTCAATTATTTCTTCCTCCCGTTGATGAGTCCCCGTAAATGGAGGGTCATCATGCATCTCCAATGGTCTCTCAGTTGGCACCTGCACCTGGATGTTTTGAAGATACCTCAAACTTAAAGCAACTCAAAATGATGTCGCTGTTGCTAGTACCTGTGTTCCCTAAAATTCACATGTTAAAACGTTTCCCATGCAATGACATTAAGAGGTGAGCACTTTAGGAAGTGATCCAGTCGCGAGGGTGGGGTCCACATGAATGGAATAGGATACTCATAAAAGAAGTCTGAAGGGGCTGCCTCCCTTTTGCCTTTGTGCCCCTTCTGCCATGGGAGGATACGGCAAGAAAGTCCTCACCAGACTCAGAATGCCAGAGCCTTCAGCTTGGACTTCCCAGTCTCCAGAACTGTGGAGGAAAAAAAAATCGCCATACCTTATAACTTACCTGACCTCGGGTATTCCATTATGGCAACACAAATAGACTGAAGACCCATCTTCCACAGCTGAACGTGTTTCACYCCTGTATTCCTTTGGCCAGAAATGTTTAATACCATTTATTTTCTTGCCCAGTCTGGAAAATTGAGAATCATCCACCTCTCTTATCAGTAGGCACATTCTAATGATTCCATGTTTTCTGGATTCCATGTYTTTCCCCTCTCTCCTGGATTTCTCCTTTGGTCTCCCAATTTGTGTGCAGGTCCTTCAGGACTGATTGCCCTCCTTCCATTATCTCTATTGCTCCTTCAGAGAGATTGCTAAATGCAAATGTGATCGTGCCWTGCTGGCTGAAATGAGGCTTAAAACACCTCCATTTTCCCCTTTCCCTTCAGGCTGCAGTCCAAAACCTCTTGGCCTGGCACACAGGCTCATCTTGAGCTGACCCTCACTTTCTGCTCTGTTCACAAGCTCCCCACCCCACCCCCTCACTCTGCCCAATACCCTACCCAACCTGGGGCTCCCAAATAGGAAACTCCTTCTGTSTACTTCTGCCTGTGCCTACAACYGCTCCTATTCCACATTCCCTGGTTCCAGGGTCGTCCCTCTCTCCCCTGCAGGACCAGCTCGGGTGTCACCTCCCTGGCAAAGCTCTTCCTGACTTCCCTAATCTTAGCAAAATGTCACTTTTGCACTAGCTCATGGCCACCATCCTGTCTCTGTCACACCATCCATGAAACCTTTGCATGAAGTCTCTGATCGATGTCACCTCCCCAGAGGGACCTTCTCTCTGCACACTSTCTCCCTTGTGCTTTATATTTCTCTTCATTGTGATGGCTTGAAAATTACATATGWATTGGTTCATTGCCTTACTCTTCCACCAAAATGCAAATTCACAACAACAGGGACATTGGTGTTCACCTCCATGTCTCCACTTCTTAGAACCAGTGAGACAAACAGTAGCACTGTCCAACTCATTGATGAYAGAAAGGGTTTGCTGGGTCATCTGTCCCTCCCAGTACATTGCAAGCTCCTGAAGACAAGGACATGGCTAAATGTGTRTGTACTGTCAGGACCAAGAATGGTGCTTAGTACGTGGTTGGTGTCCCAGATTAGTGAATGAGAAGGCTACTCCACTTCCAGCTGTGCAGATYATTTTTCTTGATTCCTTGATGCAAATATCTCAAAGTGTAGGTTTTAGATATTTGTATCTTTCATCCCTCATCAGCATAGGCCCAGTTGGGTACTGTTAGTTTTACATCCTAGGAAGTCACAATTGTCCCTCTAGAGAGACATTCCTGTGGGTTTATTATGTTTCCATAATGAACAAAGGAACAACTGTCACTCATTTCTTCCAAGGTCCTACCCATGAGTGGAATCCCCGGTCACCTTTTCCTCCACCTCAACCTCAGCTTTTCATACCTTGTTGGTTCAAGTCACCATTGTGAGACCGTGGCTGAGGAAGCAGGTATAACATCAAGTTGTAATTCCAGTTCTAATCCTACCTGGCTGTGCCAGCAGCGCATCACACTCCCCCACCCCAGTGGTGGTTTTCCCATCTGCAAAGTAGGATGATTCTGAGGGTCACCACCAGAGGCCATCTATTGGGAGGACCAAWTTCATTTTCCCCAAGTTCATTGCAGAGCAATGTGTGGTSCTGCCATGTGCAACTAACATGGAGCTTGTGCCACGTGACTCATTRTGTGAGTCTGACCCTCCGAGGGTCGGAACCCTGTTCTATGAGACCCATTCATACCACTGGTCTTGTGACATGGTCAAATTACCTGGAAACTTTCTAAACATCTGTTCTCCTTTTCCGTTCTCCATTTCTGTGCTTATCTCACCATGGACCAACAGCAAACAGCTCACCAGCGGGCACTGGTTCAGAAACTACACCCCGAAAAGCACYGTGCCTTATAAAGGTCTCATTTTGTAATTATGAATGGCTTGTAAACTTTAATAACTATAATAATAGAAATAATAATTGGGCATTCTTGATAGAATGAGAGACTGATTTTAATTTCCTCTTCTGGAAATTTTTCATTAAAATGCAGATGATCCTAGTGACCTGGAAAGATGTGACCCTTCTATCTGAAGCCACACAGTCTTTGCCTTGCTCTCTTACCACATGTACCATGRAGGATGGTGCAAGAATCCTTGTTTGAGAAATCAACTTCCTGGTTCTATATGGGTGACTGTGGCTGTTGGAATCCTTGCATGCTTCTGAATGCCACAGCAGGCCCCACCCCACAGGCAAGTGGCTGAGTATCTGTGAAGGGCCTCTTATTCCCAGTGTCAATCATCTGGTCAACTGAGAGCTCCTTCTAGTAGCCAGAACTCCAAAAGACCTGCTGATGGAATGGGAGAAGCCATTTTACTGTGACCTTGCGATTAGAGTCAGAGGAGATTTCTAGATCTCACTACACTTGTGTGTTTCCACCATCAGCAAAGGACCAATATGCAGGGTAGACAGGTCCTAAGCTAATCCTATCTATAAACAGATGACCCTGGCTTATAATAGTTTAGGTCTAATAATMCCCAAAGCTAACCATCACTAACAACCATTGAATTTCAGGCATTTTATTATAAAATGCTATCTCAATAAAATTTTCCCACAACCTTGCAAAGTTCCCACAACCATKCCCTTCCCATAACCTCTTAGTCCATTTCCTGCTACTGTAACAAAACACCTAAGACTGGGTAATTTATAAAGAATAGAAGCAGGTGTAACATCAAGTTGTAATTCCAGTTCTAATCTTACCTGGCTGTGCCATCAGCGCATCACACTCCCCCACTCCAGTGGTTGTTTTTCCATCTGCAAAGTAGGATGATTCTGAGGGTTACCACTTGAGGCCATCTATTGGGAGGACCAATTTCATTTTCCCCAAGTTCATTGCARAGCAATGTGTGGTCCTRCCATGCGCAACTAATACGGAGCTTGTGCCATGTGACTCATTGTGTGAGTCTGACCCTCTGAGGGTGGCTCACAGTTCTGGAGGTTGGGAAGTACAAGAGCATGGCTCCAATATCTGCTCAGCATCTAATGGGGGCCTTCTTGCTGAATGACAACGTGGCAGAAGCATCACACGGCTAGACAGGTCAAGCTACCAGAGAGAGGTTGCTTTTATAACAAAGCTATTTCTGTAGTCACCCATAAATATGTGAATCCATGAGTGGATTAATCCAATTATGAGAGTAGAGAGAGAGACCTCATGACCAATCACTTCCCAAAGGTTCCACTTCTCAACAYTTCTGTATTGGGGACCAGGTTTCTAACACATAAAATTGGATACACATTCAAATGATAGCAATAATCTTCTTKCAAGGTTGATTATTATGTTCTTCAGAAAGATAAAGAAATCAAGTTACTAGGTCTGTAAGGCAAGGCTATGTGTTTGAGCTCTCAAGGCTATGGGTGTGCAGCACTCCTTCTTCCCATCCTAGCTTGCCTTGGTGGAGCCTGGGACCCATGGGAGAGCATCAGGTCAGCCTCACCTCAGAAAGACTGCTGCTCAAGTTCCAAATTTGAAGTRGCCAAGTTCTGTTTTGATAAATGAAGGCATTTTTTTCTTTGTCTTTCTCTGCTTTTGAGAATTGAGATCTTCTAGAATCAATTGGTAATTATATTGTGGTATCTGCTAGATTCCATCTCCACATTCCCTGACACATGGGATGCTGGGCYCACCCCAGACCCTCCAACACAAAGTCAAGCCTGGCTCTGGTGTTGCTAAAAAGTTTCCACGTGATTCCATTATGCAACCAGGACTGAAGACCAGTGTCCCAGATCATTTAGAGACAATGTTGTGGGTGAAAATTGTATTATTCTTCAAACATTGCTCTTTCTTCTTGGTCTGCCTTTATGCTTTTGCACTCTTAAATGCTCTCTCTCTCCTCCTCCTCCTTGTTTTTTTTGCTCCACAAAAACCTCAGAGTTAACACTATCATCATCATAATTATCATCATCTCCCCCATAATTTTTCATCAAATATGCCCATGTCTATAGACATACGCTATTCAGTTGCCATGTGAATCCCATTGTACTGTTTGAAATTGGTAAAGCAATTTTTCCAACAGTTTTGAAATATGGAGAGCAGATCTTTATGAACATACAAAAACATTTAGACTAAGTAGTATTATAAAGGGGGTCAGACATGTACAATTGTACAAATAAAAAACAATCATGCCATCCAGAAAGCTACTTCTTTATTTAAAAAGAAAAGAGTATGGTCTGTCAGAACCTTGTGTAGAGAAGTTGTGTTGATCCTAGGAATCATAATATGTTGAAAAAGTGGAGAGTGRCATTTCTTTCTAGTTTTCATGTCTAAGMTAACAGGAAAATCTGTTACAGTATGTCACATGCAGACAGTTTGAAAAACAGACCAAATTATTACACGGTAGAATGTTGCAGTCTAAAAAATGGACTGAACAGTAAGTGTGCTAGTATATTCAGAGCAGACAGCAAAGCACTAAGTTGTAGAATAAGTAATAAATGATATTAACCTCCTCTGACCTCACTGCCCAACCCATGGAAAGAGAAAATTATAAAATATTCCACAGATGCCCTTKGGCTCTCTGAGCTCCTGTGAACTTAGAAAGAGGTTTTACACTAAAATCCCAGAAATGCAGCAGAGCATAACGAATGACGWTGAGCCTCAAGGTACTTCCCAAACTGTCACTGTATATATCATAGAACTACAATAGTGGCCACAGCCATCATTTCAGAAAATAAAAGTTCTAGTAAATTCATGATTCCAGTGAGCCAAGAAATGGGCAGTCYTTCTGGAAAACAGTTGGGATTTGATTTACACATGGCACTGCATCCTCASTGTTGTCCTTTAAAATCAGTCCGGCAGGGCGAGGACCTGGCCAGACCCCACACATGGGGAGGTTAAGCCGGGCCATCTGTGGTTGCTGATTCTGGAATGCAGCTGTGGGTGGGTTCTGGGCCCASAGCCCCGCTGTGAATGGGTGGACTGTGTCCTTCCTTCTAACTTCCAGGCCACCGCCTCCCTGGGTCTGTGTTCCAGGTACCCTGTCCTCCACCACTGTCCTTCCAGCARTTCCCCAGGACCCCTGCCACATCCCCCCCATCGCTTCCTCCTCCCACTGCCYACGCTCTTTCTGATCCTCCAGGACCAAAGTGTCAGCTGCCAATTGGGATAAACCCCTGTGTGGCGATGACAAAAGCAAAGAGCCCGTGCTGGGTTGAGAAGTGCCCCCCACCCCACCTGCCCTTCCTGGAACATCCCAATGTGACTTCATTTGGAACTGGGACCACTACAGGTAGACTCAKGATGGGTCATGCCAACCTGACTGGTGTCCTTATAAGATGAGGAGGAAGACATCGAGAAGGGATACACAGAATGTCTTGTGATGGTAAAGAGACTGGGGTGATGTGTCTTCCAGTAAGGGACGTCTCAGATTGCCAAGGATTGCCAGGAACCACCAGACACTGGAAAAGACAAGACCAGAGTCTTCACAGAGCCATGGCCCTACCAATGTCTTGATGATTTTGAATGTCTGGGCTCCTAAACAGAATGGACTTCTGCTCTTTTAGGCCACCGCATGTGAGGGACATTATTACCCCAACCCTGAGAACTAGCACARAGCCTTCCAAGGCAAACATGTCCCTGGCTGCTATAACTTCCTATAGAATTGGAGCAGAAAATAAGCCTCATCTCCAGTGACAACTCACATTGCTGCACAGAGTCACTTGGTTCTCTGTATGGGGAAGGGCTCAAGGAATCTCGCCCTTGGGCATTAGTGTTGTCTGCCATGGACCCAGGAAAGAGAATGTCAGCCTTGTGCCCATTCCGCTTCCCACAGCCCAAGCCTCAGCACCCACGGAAGCTGGGTGGCTTCCATAGTCACCTGCCCGCCTGTCATGTCAGTGTTTCTCATTTTTTACTTTATGGGAGAAAAAAAAGGAAATGGATACAAAATAGGAATAATCTTTTTCAAATGCTATTGGTCTAAAAGTCTAATCCTTTTTACTTTTCCATCTTTATTGGTGCATTATAATTATACATATCAGGGGGATTCATTGTTATGCATTCATATAAGCACACAATACAATCTGGTTAATTTCACCTTCCTCTCCAGTACCTCCCCTAGTACCCCTCCTTACCCTCCAATCCCCCCTCCTCCTGATTAAAAGTCTAGTCTTTTTTTTTTTTGAAAGTAGAATAATTAATTCTTTTACAAACACAGCGAATGTCAGTTGATTTCTTAACTAATGGAAACTGGCCCCAGGACCTAATACGTGGTAGGCCAAAGAACATTAGGGAAGAGTCAAGAAAGGAAGGACCAGGCTATAAAACTTGGAAGATTTAAAATATAACGTCAAAGTGGTTTTAGAAAATTTGTGGGGCTGGATAAAAGGTTTTTCACCAACAGGGCTGATTATGAATTCTCAGAAGAAAAACAGAATGGATTTGGCTTATTGTATTAGCTTAGCATTCCCAGTACTTAGCATAGTATTTGGCAAGCAGTTAGTTCTAATGAATAAATTGAAGACTACATATGCTAATTTTTAAAAACAACAGATATTTAAATACCAAAAGCTATTTGAACCCCCCCAAAAAAATACACACATCATCTCTATAAGCTGTAACTATTCCATACTATTTCTACTCAGTTTATTTAAGAACACTGACAGTTACTTCAATGTTCTTAAAATCAGTATCCAAGGAGAATATTAATACGGCTACTGTAAAAATAATAGCAACAGTCACATAACTGTCTCTAAATGCYGACCACTGTCATGGAGCTTTATTTACATCTCCTGTTTAATCCTCACCACTCATCACCTTGGAGAGAGGAATGGCTGAGAGGGCAAGTCACTTGCCCACGTCAATGGGCTCAAGGGGCAGGACTAGCCAGGGAGCCCCATCCCATGCAGCAAAGGTTTACTAAGTGCAAGCACTGTGACTGGCCGTCACACTGAGGAAGGGGAACCGGGAGTCTCTGCAGAGGGGTTTCCTCCTGGTCGCAACCTACTGATACTCCTCCAGACCTTCAATGCTGAAYGTCCACAGATTTATCTTCATTAATCTGATTTTTAGACTCAGCAAGCTCTCCCTTACCTCATTCTCTCTCCCCGACTCAGGCAGGTACATAGCAATCCTTAGAGTCACACCATGAACAGGGTGTGAATTRTGGTGTGATGGGAAGAACCCAGGGTCCAGGATCATCTTCCTCAGGGGGGAAGGGAGTGTTCGCAGTAAATTAATTGAGCTTGTTTTAAAAGCTGAACTGTTTGTCTGCTCCAATAGCTTCTTTTCAGCAGTTGCATTTCCCCTGGGCRTGGTTAGAATGACCAGAATTGCCATGAAATGTTAAAACAGACAAGCAAGAGGACAGCCATGATGCTTCCGTTTGCAGAATCCAGGCCTATGACTTTCTTTTGTCAAACCTCCTGGAGGTTTTAGTAAARTTTCTGAGTGTACATGAGAAATTAGAATGGAATCTGGGGAGTTCTGCTAATGGGGACCATTTACTTAATGTGGTCAAGATAATGTGTGGCTCATGTTTATTTATGGACTCTTTAACCTGCCCCAGGACACCTTCCAGGCTGCAGCTAGAGAGCCAACCCTTATTGGCACTAAATAATACCTTAACACTACTAAGAAAAACTTGAATCGATACATTTATTTTTCTGGGAAGTAAGTAGCAGTATCAGCAGACCATGCCTGGGTCTTCAGGAGCACTTAGCTCCATCTGGCCTCTTCATAAGCTTCGTCCTCTGCTTAGGCACCTGCTGCTGCACCAATAAYGCAGTGCATGTTCCTTAGAGTAAGCTAATTGCTGTGGCAGACACCCAAAATATACAATGGCTCCACCACTGTGGATATTCATTCTGCACTCATTTATAACTCTGGACTCATGAACAGCCCTCCAATATGTGGTCATTTCATGAGGCCAGGGCTCATGAAAGTGCAACCACCTTTGATTTTTTTTTTTTACCTCCATCTCTTCATATGTTGAAAGTCATGTAATTTCAAGGTGGTCCTCAGTGTTGAAATCAAATCTACAGGAAGGGGGAAGCCTGGAAGACAGCATGGGGTGGGATTTCCTGGGCCAGGCAGGAAAYGGAAAGCATCCCTTCCACTCACATTTTCTTGGGTTTGACTCAGTCACATGAGCCACTCCTTAGGGCAGAGGGACCTGGGAAATACAGCTCAGGTTCAGCTATGTGCCCAGGGAGAATAGGCAAACCAAAGTTTTGATGCACCCTTACCAGTGTGTGCCCCATAATGATCTATGAGTTTACGAATAAACCCTGAATCTTATTCCCYACTTTCAATAAAGTAATGTTTCATTCTGAATTACACAGGCTGCAAAACACCTTTTACTTAACAATTTAAAGTTCTTTTTTTAGGGCTTTTCTCGACAAATGAAAAACTGATAGGTAAACATCTACTGTAGTAAGCTTTATTAAGCCTGGAGGCAGATCTGAATSTGGGTTCTGTCACTTTGTAGCTGGTTGATCTGGGTGAGATGCTGACTGTTTTACCTCCATCTCTTCATATGTGAAACAGGTGTGAGAATAGTATGTATCTCACAGAGATGTCATAGGACCAAATAAGATCATGCCATAGACTGTATTTCAGAKTGATTAACATGGGCCTGGTGCAGAGTAAGCCCTGGAAACAGGAATCAAAGCACATTTCACTGTGACCCCAAATGACCACAGAGATCACATTCCACAGTAAAGCAYAGGACCCACAAAGAGTAGAAGGTAGAAGTCAGGCCACTCAAGAGGAGGAGTTGGGAGTGGGGCGCTGCTGCTGAGAGTGCAGCTCATCCAGCCCCAGGACACACAGGCTGCAGGGCCAGACTTTAAATCCATGAGGGTGGTTCCAACCAGGGAACTTGGTGGGCTAGCGTCTGACTCYGACCTAGAAACCAGACAGAACCTGGCTGGCTGGCTGCAGTGCTGGAAGAGAAAAAAGAGGCAACTGCAGGGGACAGGCCACCCTCCTTGAGTTTGTCAAAAAAGCCTGAGTGTTCCCTGGAACCCACTGTGGAGCCCCAKTGAGAACCAGGGGAGACCAGGGGAATAGGGGACAAAAGGGGGTCATGGATCCTGATCAAAGGGACCTTGCAGAGGGGTAAAGATAAAACAGCAAAAGAGTCCTTCCAGAAGACACAGGGGTGTGGAGAGGTGACTCTCAAGATGCAGTRCTGACATTTCACCCATGTTAAGTTGCTGCAAGTGAGAGATGGAGGGAGGTGCACTTTGACTGGGCAAGGGGGTGCTTCCACCAACCCACAACCTGCCAAGCCCAGAAAGGTGCATTTCTTTTTTTTTAATTCACTCATTTGTACATCAAAGGCTTACTCACTGAGCACCTGTTCCTGCCAAGCATGCGTCCAAGAACTTGGAAGCCATCAGAAAACAAAACAGATTTCTCTTTTGTACAGATTATGTATTAGTAGACGAACAGTGAGCAGAGCAAATAGGTAAACTATATAAAGTATGTTAGAAAGTGATGAGTTCTAGGGAGAATAGACACCCTGTGAACATGAACAGGGGTAGGGCTGTCATTTTAATCATGAAAGTCAACTTTCCTGCCTTTCTGATCTGCCTTTCCTGCCTAAAACTCCAAACCCTGGAGGACTCGATGCCTGAGGTAGTTGATTTAGAGGAGCCTCTGTTAGGTTTTTATCACTGTAACAAAATACCTGAGGCAGTTAACTTTAGGAAGAGACAAAGTTTATTTATTTACATTTTAGAAGTTCAAAAATCAATCCAATATTAGGTGATACCATTGGTTTAGCCTATGGGGAGAATGGTAAATGGTGGCAATCATGGCAGAAGCATGCTTGTTTGGAAGACCTTAAATCACCAAAAAGGAAACCAATGAGAGAAATCGGAGACTTATATTTCCCTCAGACACACCCCAAAAGTCCGAAGTACCTCTTTCTAGACCTCACCTCGCAAAGCACCTCCCAACAGTGTCACCCTGTTCAATCACAATGGACCCATGGGGTACTCTCAGACCACACCCAAACCATAGCATGGCTCAGGAGGCCCTGGGTGAAGGAAGAGGTAAAATCCATCCCACAATTTCTGCTATACCAATTTCCTGGAAAAGCCCTGGTAACTCCTAGACTGTTCAAGTCAGAGTTGCCAGAGGGAAGGAGCTTTAGAAAAGATTCAAGTTTTCATATTACACTGACTTGAGCATATTAAATGGTGAGACTGCTCAACTAAAATTGATCAGAAAACTCCTAAAAGTGATCATAAAACCTCCTAGTGCTGGTCCCTAGAGCAGGGGACAAGCCTAGGACCACAGAGTAATTTAAGGAACCACAAAAGGCAAAAATCACACTGTTAATTATTACATACAGGCCAGAATTTGTGCATGTGGCAATGCACACACCCTCACTAATGACAGGTAAGTGGAATACTCAGAACCCTAGAGAATCACCCCTTAGTACTTTGCA